GCCTCTTCCACTTGTGTTGATGTCTAGTTTGATTCAAACTCTCCCTCCCCGGGATCGGGTGGTCAGGCTCGCTGACTTGGTTGACACATGTCATCGGTTCCCAATTGCGCAGATTGATGCTCATGCTGTTGATCACTGGATTGTTTGGTCCAGACTCGATTATTTACAGACCGCCGCCATATAGCTGGAATATTGCTGCGTGCGGTGTAAAACTAAACTCACTCGCTCAAATTCTCCATCACTACAGTTTGATAAGACAAGTGTGAGGATTCGTATATTTGTAAATCAGGTTAATGTTTTTTTTACATCTCTTTTTTGTTTTCTTGATAGCCAAAAATATTCATTGCTTTTGCTAACTTGACTTATTAGATCAGAAGCAGTCACGAAATTTTGGTCTTCACTTACCTATCTTGTATGATCAGTCAACGAAAAACTTTGTAGGATCACAATAAATCACGAAACATTGCTGTAAACAAATAGATCGGATCACGATAAGCCATAACATATTTCTGTACACTAGTTCAACTTGTTGGATCACGATATGTCATAAAATATTGCTGTACACTAGGTAATCTTGTAGTATCACGACAAGTCATAAAATATTGCTGTACACTAGGTAATCTTGTAGGATCACGACAAGTCATAAAATATTGCTGTATACTAGTTAGTCTTGTAGGATCACGATGAGTCTTAAATAATCTTGTAGGATCACAATAGATCATAACACCTTTACATACACTAACTAAGGGGAATCACGATAATTAATAAAACATTGCTGTACACAGTTAATCTTTCAGCTTATTTTAACTACAATGGGCGTATTTAATATCTGACAAACAATATGTTTTGTCCTTTCCGGTTGTCACAGATACTGAAACTAGGAAGTCAGACTTGATTTATAAATGTGAGCTGCTGATCGGCAGTGTTCAACCCTGGGGAAGACTGGAGTAAACAGTGGTGCTCACAAAATGTCAAAAACGGTACTGAAATCATGGTATTAGCGATTGATTTTGCATTTATGCTGCTTTTAACACAGGGAATACCAATATAGGTTATACACTTTGTACCGAGGAGAATCAAACCTGGGCCTGACGAGCAGACACTTCACTACTAGTGAGTGAGTATGGTTTTACACCGCTTTTAGCAATATTCCAGCAATATCAGCGAAACGGGCTTGCCATATTGTACCCATATAGGGGAATCGAACACAGGTCTTCAGCGTGGCAAGCAAACGTTTTAACCACTAGGCTACCCACCGCCCCACTTAACTACTAGGCTATACAACTAACCAAATACACGTATGAAGGAAGACGTTACTGCCGTATGAATGTTTCATTCTCTTCGGATGGATAAAACAAGGATAAAATATTATTCTGTTTTCAGTGAACATTATGATGACCTACCTGCTGGCTAAATTAAAATCCTGTGTACTTAATACATATTCACTGTCATGTAAATACATCCAAAACTATGGCAGTATCATACGTCTATGGACAAATTGTCTTCAACCATAGAAATATGTCACTTGAACTGTGTAGTAGTTAGTTAACGTACAATGATAGATATGTGTTTCACATATGATAACTGTTTAGAATGTTAAGGTACAAAATTTTCCTAATGTTCTATTCATTAGATTTGTAAAATTTGAATATGTAGTTGCTTGTCGTACAAATTACATGGATGTGGAAGTGATCGTTAGGGAGCAGGTATTTTAAGTTGGATTACTTGTCCCCAATCCCTTTCACATTTGTGAATAAAATATGTTTAAATCAATCAAGTAATCGTACATATTTTGTTGGTGCCAGTTTCTTTTATCTCAGCATCTAAAAGCATCTAATTTTGCACACTCAGTAGCCTCCATGCTGCTACACAGGAAGGCGCGAACCAACACTACATTCATTCACAGAGAACGTTAACATAGTAGAATAGGTTTCGGAAAAAATCATTTAGATGGTAATTTTTGTCTAATATTGCTAGTTGTGACTTGTATAAAAGTATCAATGGCCTACCCTCACCCCGGAAATATTTAGTTTATGGAACATTATCCTGATTATCATTTTCTGCCCAGATGTCAGGTTTTGACAGAGTGTATCAATTAGCAAGGGCAGTTAACTCTTGTCACACTTCATTAGCATTACCAAAGCATCAGTACATTATCTAGCAATTTATACAAGATGCTAACAAATGTTTACATGTTCTGCTTGATTTGCATTTTAGAAGTTGATAAATAAGAATGGTAAGATACTTTGTGGCTGACAACTTCTTTATTATATTATGATGCCATGGATTAACATGGATTTAGCTAAATTTGGTAGATACAATTTACAAATCTCTATGAAATTTGTTTATTGTGTATTAGATTTACCAATATGCTTTGGTATCAGTTAATTATGACAGCTTATGGTCATGTACTTTCACAGCAGTGAATAAGGAAGTATGTTTCCCTGTGATGTACAGGGCTGTTGATAACTGCAGCACTGACCACCACCTGCATCGTGGTATGCTGGGGAGATATGGGCTATATATACATACCTCAGCAAACACAGCTCAGTGGGAGCCATTACAAATAATTGGGATGGTTTGTTGAAAGCCATTGTGATTTTCCTGTGAAGGTTAGTAATTCAGCATGTAAGTACCATTTACAATAATAATACTTGAATTTATGTGTATGGATTCTCCAAATGTTTGCCATCAGTTGGGACAGTAGCATTGTGGTGAATATGTTCATCTTTAGATTTTAGGATGGCAGTTTTCCGCTGATTCGTGGATTTCCACCAATTTTATTTCAAATTGATCAATTCTGTGAATCGTCTAAATCGTCTGAATTCCCCTGAACTCCCCATTTGATGACACAATGATTTTCCTGTTGCCATCCCTGAATTTTGTTTTGCTGAGTGCTGAGTTGCTTCCCTTAGGTGTACCAGACTCCTATTTAGGTCTGAATTCCCTGATTTACCCTAATAATGTTTCTCAGGTTATCTTCACCAAACATATATTTGTAGTTTCCCAAAGTGGTGAATGTCTTAACATCTGCGTCACTTTTGGTATCGTTCCACATCAAGCTGACTGCCATTTTGTAACTAAAACACTGTTATATAGTGGCATTCAACCAAACTCACTCACTGAGTATTGTAACAGTTTTTGATGTGAAGGAAGAAATTGTGTTGTAAGCAAGAGCGGATATCCCCCTGAATGAGGAAGTATGTTGGTCATTATCATGAATACTAGCATGGCTGCGTCCTGGAGCTGATATTACATGACATAACTGACACTTGACACAGTTCGGTATTTCTGTTCATGAAATATTTCTGTATTCCTTTCACGTATCTTGTATATTGTGCAGTAATCTGATGAATCAAAGCCCCTCCCTTATAAAAGCTTTCCACCCTAGGTTTGTATGACAATACTTAAATAATATAAACCCTTTAAATATACGAAAACTGAAACATATATGCTATTTAGATTTGTGTGATATCTGAAAAATGTGAACCTCCACCTAGATCACTGATCAGGGTGGTTCAGTCTGGGAATAGGGACATCATCAAACCAGTCCTATAACACTGAGGCAATATGCTGTAAATTTCAATATGATGCGTGTGTTTTACTAACACTGTTCACGTGACTGACACCATTGTGTGTAACAAAAACAATATGACAATCATGGGCAGTTCCAGAGTATCTTTTCTCAATTTACGTGTTAATATCTATTTTGTGTTTTTAGACTAAGATAATAGTCACTTCACTGATGCACCGCCCACATCAAACAGCCCAAATGGAAGCATTATGTTTCCGTTTCAATTTTTCACATGTGATGATAGATATTTTTCATGTTTGAGTCATATTATCAAGAACACTTTGCCTTAGAATGATTATTTTTGTTCTTTCTTTTTTTTTCAGTTCTACTGACATAGCACACATTCCTTTTTCAGAATGCATGATGTATATTAGTCCCTGTTTCATATTTACCATAACCAATTCTACCCTTACCTTAATTTGGCCCTCCTTACCTTAATCAAGCCCTTACTTTAACCCTCGACCTGATGTTGTCCTTACCCTCATAGAGCAAGAAGAGGTATAAAACCATTATCACACACTCACTGACCATGCTGACATGTAACATTGTTCTTCACCATTTGAATAACCCACCCACTCTTCACCATATTTACACTGGTGATGAGAATGTTGATGGGAAGACCAGGGTCCCGTTCCACAAAGCGATTGTAACGCTAAGATGATCGTAACTCCCATACTTTAACATAGACTTACGACTGTCGTAGCGCTACGATCACTTTGAGGAACGGGGCCCTGGGGCCTGTTTCACAAAGTGATCGTAGTGCTACGACTGTCGTAAGTCTATGTTAAAGTATGGGAGTTACGATCACCCTAGCACTACGATCACTTTGTGAAACAGGGCCCAGGGTGCCATTGTACAAAGCGATCTTAGCAATAAGGTGACTGCAGCTCCCATACCTTAACATAGGTGAGGTGAGGTGACATTGGATTTAACATCGTACTTGAGAATATTTCACTCATATGACGACGTGCATGCGCGTGTATGTGTATGTGCGGCTGCTTGTACTAGCCCAGACTGAAGCTGGTTTTATAGTGCTAGCCCACTGAGATACCATGCCGCAGTGAAGCATGAATACCCCACTCAGACACATTATACTGACTCCGAAAGCCGACCAGTCCTTGTTGTACCCATTAATGCCGAGCGCCAGGCAGGGACCAACAAGTACCTTATTTTACGTCTTTTGGTATGACGCGGTCGGGGATCGAACCCGAAACCTACCGCTCTCCGGGCGGACGCTCTAACCACTACACCACGGAGGCGGTCGCTTAACATAGACTTAAGGTAGTCTTAGCGCAAATGTTGTTTTGTACAAGGGCACCCAGCAAACTAATTACCACACATGCATGTTGAATATAATTGTTGTATTTTTGCCTTCCACCTTCATGCACACCTTATATTATCTTTTTGTATTATTTATTTTTTAAAGACAATGTTTGGATGTGGCCAGGTCAATGAACCTGACAGCGGAGCGCATGCCACATGCACCTTCTACGTAGGTATGAAGCCAACAATGTGTTACTTTCTTCATTTAGTCTCAAAGCATGCTTTCTCACTGTTGTACTTAGTCCAGCTTGTCTTTTGTCACTTTGTTTCTTGGTCGCCATTTTTCATGCCTTTTTGTAGCTGTTATAATAAGCCCATTTGGGAACGGAAAACTTACCCACAGAAACAAGGATATCTGTGAAATTATTTTCAGTAATTTTCAGACAGTCAGACAAGTTTATTTCAGTAACATACTAAAGATTTGTTTCCTTGGGCAAGATCACTTACCTGTTTTCTGTGACTTCCAATATTTCTGACATGATATAAGTATATAGCAACAGACCTAATAATATCAAGGATATTGTTCTGAATTAAAGAATTACCTTTGACTCCTTCTTGCTGATCATTTAAGTTGTTCCATAGCTGATATTGATCTGCGTGAGGATCTGATATTGTGATGTCACAGTTTAGCATATATTTGGAGATGACATCATCCATTGTTCAAAAGTTAAAACAATTGTGTTATGTTCCATCAATAGCCCAGCTGAGCTGATGTCATCACTTGACATGAGAAAAATTATGTTTTTCTGAAATAAATTGATGCAAGGTGACTTAAAGAATAACTTTTTTGCAAATCATGGACTATCACTCCTTCATGAATTAATGTTGACTTTCTTTGTGTTGCTCGGAAACTAGTATTTTAATCCTTAGACCTTTGGGATAGATACTTGTAATTCCTGTAGTTTGTATAAATCTGTAAGTAAATGTTTTCAGTTTGCAAAAGCAAAGATATCCTTGTGAGTCTGGTTTGAAAAATATTTGTTTGTTTGTTGTTTAATGGTCCAGCTAACCAATTTGGATCAGGATATTTGTTTTCATTTTGTGAAGGTTCTATTGCTGACACTGGCTCATTGTTTTTACTGATGTTCATGCTATTAAACACTGGTTTTGTGATCAACAATTAATAAAATACACGACTACATAATGTGTCTGTTGCAGGGATGACTACAGCATAAGAAAATTGGATTTTTCTGTGAATGATGTATTATGAGACTTGCCTGTAAAATGTGCAAATATTTGGTAACACCTAAATACTTGTTTTTCCTTCAAAGTAGTGTTCGGAATTTACGCTGGTGCTGTGGTCCCTGGCTAGTAAAAATTCATCAGGACCATTAAATGACAGGTTTGCAGTGGTCCTGGTGAGCAGTGAATTTTCTATTGATAGTTATGTAAATCTATGAATGTTATTTTGGACCAGTGAAGTACAGACAGGACCACTAATTATTGTCCACTGACAGGTCCTGTGGTCAAGTTGGAAATTTTGAAAGGTTTCTTTTCCTGCAGTGGTGTTTGCCTGCTATATCACAACAGTTACATTGCCATATTTGGATCAGTTTGTGAATACCGCCTCAGCCATGTCCCACCATTACAGTGTAACAAATAATTTAAATCTTTCACCAAACCTGATATGATTTCTTGAGAGTTGCCAGGGCTCCAGATAATTTTTGAACACCAGGAGTACGTACTCATTATTTATTCAATATAGGAATACTCGAAAACCTTAAGCCTACATTTAGAGTACTGAATGGAATTTAATGGAGTATCAGTAGTCTTGTGTTTCGTTTCATATATGTACCACAACATTGCTAGTCTTGTCTAAACTGGTCAATAAACAATAAAACAATACCTTTTCAGATAAATACGTCTGTAAATGATTCTAAGACGTGGTGCGTATCTGCTACGTTTTATAAATTATTTCCTACCGTATCATGCAAATTTTTTTATCCATACATACGCCGATACGGCCCTTATCTGGAGCCCTGGTCGCAGGACAGATAGATAATGATGGATAGCTAACCAAGAGGGTCAGTATAATGTCAAAATAATGTACGTCCATGTCACACGACCTGGCTAACATTTGTATTTCACTGGTTTCCTGATAATAATTTATTTAAATTGGGAAGGAATTTAGTTGCAATCACGTTGTGGATAACCAGCGCAGGTTAATATTAACAGCCATTAAATTGATTACTATCCAAATGGATTTCAATCTGAGAAGTCGGCACATGTTGTACGAAGTGGTTAAATGAATGTTTTAATTTTAGTGATGTTGCTCACATTGCTTAAACTATCAATAACTGGTTTGCTGGGCCAGATATTACTTACAGGCAGACATATCAAAGCTACAACATTGCTCACTATGATGTAAAGCAACAAGCTGACCTGGAGAAATGAATAAAATTCCTGGCAAATTCCAATGCTGTAAAGATGGACCACCTACATAGAACACCTGCCTGGTTTATTCACGTTACCCTAGCCACATGACCGACATGTTTTGTCATAAAACCACTAGGTTCCAAATCCTGGGCAAGATTACTGTCTTTGTGAAAGGGTTGAATTTTGCATACTTTTGTATAAACTGGCTTTAATTCCGTCAGGGTAATTTATTTCAGCTGAGTATGTTTTTGAAAAATGTCATGAACACCATATTGTCTATCAGTAAAGGGACTGAATATTTTTCACCATGTTAACAATAATATCTTCAAAGCCTGCTTATTCAATCGTTATTCAACAAGTGTAATTATTGGCTACAAAACCTGGTAGCTATCAGTGAGAAAATGATGTTAAAAACTCCTTCCACTATGTTCTCTGCCAATCTGGGGACCCGTGAATTATCAATCTTCAGTAACCCATGCTTGGAGTAAGAGGCGACTAATGGGAACGGGTGGTCAGGTGCGCTGACTTGCTTGACACATGTCATCGGTTCCCAGTTGCGCAGATCGATGCTCATGCTGTTGATCACTGGATTGTCTGGTCCAGACTCGATTATGTACAGACCACTGCCATATAGCTGGAATATTGCTGAGTGCGGCGTAAAACTAAACCCACTCCCTCACTCACTCCCTTGGATGATCAGGATATGCTGATTATGTGTGTCCCTTTTGATCCAATTTGTCAGCAGCACATCCGTGGTTGTCGAGTCACCAAAGCAGTCGACTTCTGTGACCTAGATCCTTTTTGCTCTCCTTCAAAGAAATTTATATTGAATAAATCTTTTATCAATACTAAACTTTAAAGAGTCATGTGACTGATAGTTATCTACTTATGATTTAGATATGAAAGGCTACCTCACCCATTTACAACTTTAGGAAGTTAAGATATAGTTGTGTTTGTTTATCAGTGAAAGCGTCCATACTTACGTCATTCGGGTGACTATGCTTACATTTCCTGTTGTTCTTGGTTGAAATGTTCAGTAGATACACAAACGTCAGTAGCGTATATCATCACACAAAATGGGTCTCTTCAAACGCATTTGGAGTCCAGCAAAAAGTAATTATGATTTGATTTGATTTTTATTGTTGTTAGACCATCGTTGAAGGTTATTCATGTTGTATAGATATTTGTTAAGATTAACTATGTTAGTAGACTGGTGTGGCTGTCAGTATTTATTGGATTAAATTAGAACTTGGATGTGTCATAGATGTTGTCACACATCAGGCTGTTAACAAACAACGATAATTTGACAAAAATAACATATATAACGATAACAAGAAAAAGAAATATAAAGAAATTAAATGTTTTTCACAATTTTTAACTGCTAGATATGCAAGACAAAGCAATTGACTTCAGTTTAGAATCACTATGACATACATTGTAATATTGTGAAATTTTGAATAAATGCACAATTCAAAGAAGCACTAGAATATACTTGAAAATGTTTTTCTACCTGTAAGTTCTGTAAGTTTCATTTGTAGATGAGATATTGAAGCTGAATTATATAAATTAGTTGTCAAGTAAATACTGTCTGACTGAGTTTGGCTTTACGCCGCTTTTAGCAATATTCCAGCAACATCACGGCGGGGGACACCAGAAATGGGCTTCACACGTTGTACCCATGTGGGGATTCGAACCCGGGTCTTCGGCGTGACGAGCCAACGCTTTAACCACTACACTACCCCATCACCCCTAAAGTAAATACAATTCAGGGACATTTTGAATGTTCAACTGGGATCCAAATGATATGTCTGTGTCAAAACTACAGCTGTTCTACTGTAGGGGAAACTTTTGGATACATCCTGGTCGGGAGACATGGTCAGGAAGTGAATTGTTAGTACACAGCTTTCAAGTTGAGACAAGTGATGTGGGCAAGCTGCTTGTGTGTAATTCTAGTGGCACCATCATGAGTCACAAACCTAGACATGTGAGTGGGTGAATATGGTTTTACACCACTTTTAGCAATATTCCAGCAATATCACAGCACAACACACCAAAAATGGGCTTCACACATTGTACCCATGTGGGGATTCGAACCTGGGTCTTCGGCGTGACAAGCCAATGCTTTAACCACTAGGCTACCCCACCACCCACTTTTAGCAATATTCCAGCAATATCACAGCACAGCTTCACACATTGTACCCATTTGAGAAATCAAGCCCTGGTCTGGCAGGACGAGCAAATGCTTTAACCATTGATGTACCCCACCGCCCCAAATGATGTGGGGAAGCTGCTTCCTTGTTCAGGATATGTTACTAGGGACCATTCTTCATAATCCCCATGGTATGGTATGGCCCAGACTGCCACTAAGACCTGGGGGGCGGTGGGGTAGCCTAGTGGTTAAAGCGTTGTCTCGTTACGCCGAAGACCCGGGTTCGATTCCCCACATGGGCACAATGTGTTAAGCCCATTTCTGGTGTCCCCCGCCGTGATATTGCTGGAATATTGCTAAAAGCGGCGTAAAACTAAACTCAGTCAGTCAGTCAGTCACTAAGACCTGGCTAGATGTGTATTAGGGAGGGAGGCAGCCAGTGTGATACTCTAGTTCTATATAAGTTCTCAGTGGACCATATCATGTTCTGTGTTGTACCTTGCTTGGTATCTATTGCAAAGTGTCTCATTACAGCTTTAATCTCGATGAAGCCTCATAGGGGTTCCAGGATAAATTCCAGTATTCATGCCATTAGTGGGTCATTTCTAAAAAACATATTGGCTGTGAGGAGAAGGTACCCTTCTTTGG